TTCCCGCAGGAAAAATCCCTGAAGGCTTGGGCGAGCTCGAACAGCTCGAGCACCTCCTGTTCCGGCGGTGCAACCGATCAGGTGAGAGAGAACCCCGGTTGGGAGTCCGACACACGGCAGGACGATCGACCCGCTACAGACTGCCGAATGAACGTTGTTGAGAACAGGCGTTCACGCCCAACGAGTTTGAAGGTTGTTATCATGCACTGAAGTGTGTAACTCCGGCTCTTCAACGGGCTCGACGTCGTATGCCAGAGGTATCACCACAGGCATGTCGAGCGTAGACCAGGGCATTCATGTCGGAGAAGCCTGAACCACCGACAGTCAATGCTACTTGTATATTTTCTTCGGGGCGGAATGTGCATGGCGCGTACGCTGACGGCCGTGGCCCGAGCTGGAGCGGACCTAGGGATGTTTGTCCGTTGAGCTGTTCAAGTTTCAACCACCGTTGGCGCGCGCGTAACTCGACGTCAAAATTGTTTGCCGGGCGCTCCGTTCCAGGCGCTATGTGTTCCAAATCCTCCCTACCGTTGTACGCGCTGTCAGGCTGTGTCTGTGTTATCTGGACGTTCTCTGGTTGATTGTCTCCTGTTGCTTTATCCACTGCGGTACGGCCACTAGGCCGGAAAAATGAGGAAAGGCGATGCTCACGAGCCTAGCCTCCACGCTCTACCACGCCTTTTCCTCCCCTGCCCCGAAGAACATGATGATGAACGGGGGGATCGTGATCGTGCAGGGGTGAAGCCCGTGACCGGAGAAGTATATCGCGCTCGTTGTTTCTACAACTGCACTTGCCAGCGGTACCGTCCCCCTTGTGGTGGAAACGTTTCTTGAGCCTTTTGCTACGAAAGGCAGAGAAATAGCACGTGACTTGGTATCGTCAGATACACACATTTTCGCTAGTCTTGAACACGGCGCCCAAGCTACCAGCAAGAATCATCTACTATCTACACCCGCCCCTCGATGCACGCCCTCGTCCGCAGGTACCATCCCGGTCGAGATGGGAAAGTTGATAATCTCAAGGGGCTGTACTTGGACCACAACGACCTGACAGGTAGCGTGTGTGGCGGCGCTTGCTGATCAGGTTTGGGGTGTAGCTTCGGTCAACAGAGAAGGCCTGTCGGAAGACACTACACGCCCAGAATAATAAGTGAACGTGGAGAGGGACTTATTTCGGGGGGCCTCGCATTTGGAGAACGTTTCGCGGTTCAATTTTTTTCATCGAATCAGCTATATACTCCTTGCAGTGTCGACCCCGGTTTGACAGCTTTGCCTGCCGCCCGAGGATCCCCTGGTGACGGTCCTGAACGCGAAAAAAGCTATCCATTCCTTGCCGCAAAACCACGGTGTCGGTGGGCCAAAGGCGCTTTCGTGATGCATCGACTGTTTCTTCTCTCAGCCTTCCAATACGAGTCCTAATCTGAGCAGCATCATCATCTGCCGGAAGGCTTGCACTCCACAGCCCCCGGATAGCCTGGACGGCGCCTCTTTCGAATCCTCCGAAGTCCTGAAACCAAATCCACCGAACTATTTCGTTTTTGATAGGGACGATCCCGAACGAGCTCTTCAATCAGACCAAGCCCAAGGGCCTACATCTTGATCACAACCGGCTATCAGGTGCGCCGGTTGATTGCTCGTGTTTTGAATCGGCTGTTTTTTTTTTGTGCGAAGAATGTTCCGGAACAAAGTTCTAAGCCCAACCGGCTGCGTACACCCGGCTGCTGCTCGTCGAGTATGAAGATGGGCCAATGACGTCACGGGGGCCACAAGATCATTTTTGGCGTACTTGCCATCTGGGTACGTGTGTATTCCTCCGGTTTAGGCGGTTTGTCGCTGCTGCACCCGCCACCTAGGTTTTGTGGGGTGACGGACACAACAACACAACAATTGGTCTTGGAGAGTTCTCGGCGTCGCTTGATCAGTTCATCCCGTTTCTGGTATCGGCGTTTGTCGTTCGCGTCGTATTTCTTCCGTGAGGATCGCGGTTGTATGTGCCAATTCAGCATTGCTCGAACGGAAGAGAGTGGGGGCAAAAGCCGTGGCTGGGTTTATTTTTGCTTCGGTGGAGCACGGTGAAGCTACCGCGCCACAGCGTGTTCAGACCCGTACAAACTTGTCGCATCAACACTGTTTCACGGTCGTCAAACTCACCAAGAAGACAATAAATGCGCGACATAGTTCGCGTGGTCCACAGGGCGTATTTCTGCCGATATTGGCCGACTCGACAACCTGCGACAACTCGACCTCAGCGGCAATCAACTAACAGGTTCGGTTCGTGCTTTCGGCTTGACTCGTTTAAAGTTTAAAGCGTTCCAGCTCGCAGTCACGGACGCTATCTACTGAATGGTAACGTAGACGCTGAAAGGCAGCGCATTGCAGCCGTTCTGGGGTGGTGTACATTGTTTTTCATTGATTTTTGTTTCGTCCTCCAACCGATACGACAACAATGCCCAAACAGAATCAACGACACTTTCGCCCGGTCGGGGTATCGGCGCCATCTGGAAAAACTCTGGTTCGCCAAAAAAAAAACGTATTTCCGATGGTATTTCCATACCACGTTGAGCTAGCTCGCCGCTCGCCCGACTCCTGGAAGGTTGGGACATGTGGAAAGCGTAGAACCGCGTGTTACACGAGAGTACTACGGAAGGCAACATATCCATGGCTGAAAGTGGTGGCTACGCCGGGGAGTCTCCATATGGTGAACATGTATCCTTTGCGTGCTCTCTTTCTCGCGCGCCGGCAAAGTACGTGCACTTTATGAGCTCCAAACCCCCCCCTTATTACGCACACGGCCGTGGCGCAGGGTGCATCCCAGAGGAGATTGAGGCTCTACCAAGCTGGAGAAGCTTCTTCTCAACCGAAATCGGCTTGCAGGTGGGACAGACGGTGCACAAGAGACGATGGACACTTTCGATTGTTTCGTCGTTTGTGGTTTGTGCGGCATTTTCTTTTGAAACCCACTCTTGGGAAGTACTTAGACATTCAGATCATTATCTTGGAAGACTCTCCGGTAACACAACCATGAAAGAGCCGCCGTTTGCACTAATTCGATCGGATGCTTGATGTTTGTGTTTCATATGTTGGAACGTGAACCACGGGGTTGGCAGCGAGTGTCCAGGCACGCGCAACGTTTGGCGAAATCTTGGCTCCCAAGTACCCCTCATCAGTGTTGTTGGGGATGTGAATGAGGGGTTATGCCTTCCCCCCCCAATGAACTGTGGTTTGAAACTACTACTGCTGTACAATACCAATGTGTTAGTTGAGGCTATGAAACCGTGGGACGTGAAAGGGTGTGATACCAGCTTACGGGAATGCCTACTCTGGAAACTGGAGCACGCTGTCAGTATATGGCACTGCATCGAAGGTTGGAAGAGAATGTGCGTGTGGTATCTTGGCCCTCTATAAATAAATCCCGCCGTTTCTATCCTCTGCCCAGCTGTCCCTTGCAAAAGGTTTTTCAAGAATGTTTCGAAAGCTGCTTCCTCGCGGATGACCGAGGCATGTGTGCATCACGTCATACCATCGATTGATGCCGCGGTCAACTTCTTGCCGTCTGCCTGTACGTGCGCGCCCATACTCAAATGAATCCACGCAAGGGCGGAATCGATGGATATGCGAGAATGAGCACGCCGCTACATCCCACTCAAACCCACGTATGCATACAACAACTTTGGTTTTGCACGTCTCGAGGAGCGAGATGCGAGTTGCGACGACTACGGCGGCAGGAGCGACACGCAGAAGGCCGGATCACTGGTACAGTGGGTCCACCAACATTACATTCAGATGTCACGGTGCTGGCAGCCATGGAAGAAGTGCTTAGTCGAGGCAATGGCGTTCTGGGTGGCGTCGATCGGTGGTCGAGACAGGTCCAATCCCATCCGCTGGAAACCGTTCATAAAAGTCTTTGCTTTCTGGACGCTGGTGGTATCGCGGTTCTCGTGAAGTTTACGTACGTACGTACGTGCTGAAACCTCGTCACGACCGAAACGGGCGGCAAGGAAAACAAGCATTTGACTCTTATTCTTGCCTTTGAGAAAGAGGTGGTTGTCCATGTGTTGATGAGAGATGGTGGTGGGAGTAGGAGGTGCTGCAGCGCGCATGGGCCGTATGTGGGCTTAGGATTCAAGGACAGGCTGGGCGTGAGCTGCGCCTCTGCGGCGAACGCGCGCTGCTAGATATGGGTTGGTGGAAATTTTCTCGGAACTCCTGTGCAGCCGTGGTCCGGGTTTAGCGATTCCCTGTATTGCGGAATGCCCTAAATGGCGGTTCAAGAATCTCGTGAAAGCAGCTGCTCCCCAGTTGTCGTGCCCCTAATGATACTGGTTATTGGCCACCATAAACACTAATAGGGTATGCAACCATGTTGTCCACAATTAAAATGAGGCAACCAAAGCAGCAGCAGGTTTCCCAAGAACACATCGTCCCTCCAGTGGGTAGAAGTCTGGTCGTTGCTTTCGTGTTACTTTTTGGAGGTGTGGTACAAGTCAGTGTTCCAGTCGACCGGCACGAACTTGGAATGAAACAGTTCGTTGATGTCCATCGCGAGGGACCGACCCATAGAAAAGCCGTTCGTTCGTCGTGTTGCCGGCGGTGATTTGTTCCGCTGACGACCATGCTCATGGTTAGATAGGCATGGTAGGCGAAAGTATGTTACTTCGAGGCAGACTGTGTAAGTTGGTCAGAGAGTCTGCCGACCCCAAGCGCGGTAGACGTCGGTACGGAGCGAGCGGTGGTAGGTGGTATAGGCCTCGACACAGCTTTGGGGGTTCCGTGCCCTCGCGTTCGGGAAAGTTGTGTGCTTTCTGCATTCACGATAACCTAGGGCATAACATCAGTTTGGTTTTCCGAACGACTTGGGGGCCTTACATGTTCACAGGCTTCGTTCATGTTTCATTGAAGTTACGCGCGCGCCATGCTACGAGAGGATCTCCTTGCCATCCACCATCATACTGGGCAGACACGGTCACAGCCACGTGCCACACCAACGTACTTGTCACTCGTCGTGTGCAAGGCCTCCGTATTGATTATCTTCCTCGCTCCCAACACCGTTGCACGGCTGTTCGGAAAACGTCGAGGGGACAAGGCCTCCTCCAGATCGATGTCCCGCGCTCCGTTTCACGAGCCTTATTTTGCACAGGACACTATGCTTGACGGCACACCTCCGAAAAAGGCGTCACGGGCGGCATCAAAGGCGGACCACCACCCACGCAAAAGCTTCCAAAGGAGAACGCAGCATCGGTCACTACTGGTAGGACAAGGCCGCGAGGAAGCGCTAAATCCTCCGAGTCACGACGGCCAAACCACCGGACGACCAACAACACAAGATGCCGAGTCGACTGGGGCGGTGTGTGGCCGGCACGCCCGAAGCACCATCGCTCTCGCAAAACCTTTCGGCGCATAACCATCGGCAGTCTGCTCAAGCCCGACAGGTCAAAAGCGTGACAGTCACGGGACGAAAAACCCGGGTTATGCCGTCGGGTGTCAAGTTCAGCCGAAGGCCTGTCGTAAGGGCAAAATCGCCGTTCAATGTCCGCCCCCGAACTGTGTTCGGCTTTTTCTTTGCCGTGACCAAGGTTGGAACGGGGAGGACCAAGGTGGGGTAGTGTGGCCACGTCCGAAACACGGGCAAGGGCCAAGGCTCGCCTATTGCACCCTTCCCCGGAGTCTCAGTTCTCCCACAGACGAGCGCACTCATTCTCTACAACTGGTAAGTTTCGGGGGGTAATTTCTTGTACTCTAGTTCAGTCCACCTTCCTCGAGAAAAAGCCAACATTTGATGCAAGGCAACAAGCGCCTGCCTCTTAGCCCTCAGCTGCGGCATCCCGCTATGTGTCAAACCTTGAGCCAAAGCGATCTACAGCTCTGAGGAGGTGTCTTCTTGCTCTTCCTCTTGTGCTGGCTGGCGTTGTTGACCCTCCCCCCGCTTGACCAGCGCGATGAGCTGGCCCTGTACCGGTGACCCTGCCTCTTTTCTCGGCGACATCTCTCGGTAGTGTGCCACGTCAAACCCGAACCTGAAACGGGCAGCACGAACGACCGGCGCCATCGGAATCAAGCACAGCAAACGCGCGCGCGTTGATACAAGCAAAAATCGCAGCCTGTCCTGATGTGCCACTGCGTGTTGCAAGACTGGGTGGAGCATGCCTCATGGTTGGTCTGAGAGGGATCCACGTTCTGATCATCACCAACAACCCAAACACCAACAAGTCAATGTGTGGGTGTGTTTCGAATGGTGATTTCTGCTTCACGGCAACAACTACTGGCACGGCCACCTACGTAGATATCAACTTTGACAAGCTCCACCAACGAACAACGTCCATGTCAGAGGTGGAGGAGCGATGACGTGGAGCAAGCCAACAACGGGCAGGAAGCTCTGTATGCCCACGGGCTGCTCTATTTCAGCCCCAGAGATGTACTTGCATACGAAAGTTAGAACGTCAGCTGCAGCCCAGAGGCTGGTCGTAGCTGAAGGAATCTCGACGGGTACGTAGCACACAAAACAGGGACGCGTATGTAACTAAGTACCGCAGGTGTGTGGGTCTCAATGGGCTCATGAACTACAGTAGCTCGTGATTCGCGAGGAGTTGGCGGATTCTTCTTCGCGTGGTCACTTCTCGCGGCCGAAAGCTCATGGAACGGCACCAAATCGAAAATGGAAGCAACAATGCCGAGGCCACTCCGAGCACATACGCAGCAGATAGGATACCAAGCAAATGTGGGGTCTGTTGATCTGCCCGATGTGCTGTACTTCAGGAAACGTCGTCAACTCACCTCTCGGCCAGCTGGTGCAAGTACCCTTTGGTGTGGGCAAACCTGCCCGACGGCAACAGCTGCCACCCCTTGCAACCCTGTGCGTCCAAAGATAAGGCGAGCACGTTCGGTCAGCAGCCATGCGGGACGGAAACAGGTATTGATCTTGATGGCGGCGGGATTCGTACACGAACAAGCAAAGTCAACGCTCGGACTACGGTGAAGCATCAAAAGTGATGGGGGTGCGTGGACACAAAGAATACCTGCTTACACCAGAACATCATCAGCAAAAAGGAGATGTGCTTGCACAGAAGCACACAAGCAAAAAAGGAGTTGTGCTTGCACAGAAGCTCTTCAGCGAAAAGGAGATGCGCTTGCACAGAAGCTCACCAGCAAAAAGGAGACGCGGTTGCACCAAAGGTTCATCAGCATAAAGGAGATGCGCTTGCACAGAAGTTCATCAGCACAAAGGAGATGCGCTTGCACAAAAGCTCATCCGCAAAAAGGAGATGTGCTAGCACACATGCTCATCAGCAAAACGGAGATATGCTCGCACAGAATTTTCATCAGCAAAAAAAACGGTTAGGTGTCAACGACAACGACACTCCAACAGCAACACGGCTGAAATAACCGCAAGCATCAATATTATCGCAAACAAGGTCCAATTTTTCCTTGTCTTACCTTCGCCTCGTCGCAGTCTTGCGGAGCGATGAGCTCGCACGTGAACGCCAGAATGCCTCCGTCACCGAGGTACTCCCTTGACGATCCAAAAATGTCTTCCAACTCCCCGATGTACCTGTTTCGTATCGGGTGTCGGTGGCCGTGTGGACGAAAGCCGACACAAACGCACGGGCGCCACACGAGGAAAACCAAACCAAAACTTCAGCAAAATATGGTAACAAGTTTGGCTCACGGAGGGCAGCAACAACCGAACGATAACAAAAAAACTGCTGACAGAGGCTTGTTGCACCACGGACAGAGGAACCCCCGCAAGAGACGGACGTTCATTCGCCAAGGACTTCAGACAAAAGTCATGGTGTGCGTAAACGCCACTCACACCAGTACATCCGCCGCCACCACAAGGTCGCCCCGCACTCCCTCGCCAGCCCGCTGTGTTGTTGGCGTTGGTGATGGCGTTGAGGTACGACAAGAGCGGACGCCAAAAAGGCGGAAGGGGCAGGGCAAAAAGTGGGAGAAATTAGAGAAATACAACCAACAAACGCCGCACAGCAAACACGCAGCACCATCCACCCCCCCCTTCTCTCTCGTCCCCAGGGCCCCCCCTCCTTGCCGCTCACGAGTATACTAGTCAAGGCTCGAGAGGTACACCAGCACCAAGAAAAAAACACGGAGCCTATCGAAACAAGAGTCTGCCAGATTAGAAAAATATGCTTCCGATGCTTTTCCAACCCATATCGTGACTCGTTGCTCTCACCATTCGCAGAATCTCCCCCATCTCCCCGACAGCCAGCGCGTCGTACACATCTGACGCCGCAGGACCATGATCACACCAGAGGGCAAGGCGCGCGGGCGTAGCGTCTCAACTCAGATTAGACAAAGAGCGGACGGCGGCGAGAGGCCAGGGGGCCCGACCCATTTTCTTTGTACCGGGAGACAAAAACACGAAGAGTGCGTGAAAACAAATACCAGTAGCAAAACAGGACAAAAGTGCAAAAGTGCGCAAAAGGGTAGGGCATCAATGCCGCTCGATTGTGCTGCCTTCGGCGCGGTTGAGCTACTGCAACGTCCGGTCTCCGCTAAGCTTCTGCTTTCGGTCTAACCTATCAGCCACGTTTTGCATCTTGTCGCAAGCGCCTTGCTCGTCTACCTCCCGTCGTTTTTCGTCGTTCTGCGCGAATTTCAATATTATTAGGCTGGCTGTGTGCGTTTGTTGGTAGACGCAATGGTAAAGGAAGGGCCGATCGGGATGCTACGAGATAGAGTCGCAGAGCAATAAACAGCAACGAGGGTGACGTACTGGCGTGCACCTGCCGCGATAAACGGCGAGACTTTCTTCAGTGTACGACCAAGAAATCGCATCAACCACCCCGCCCCCAGTGGGGGTCCGGCATGCTCCAGAGCCGTCAAGATTATCCACTCTTACAGCCGCTGCAGTACGCCGAAATGATGGCATCGGCGGCACGGCTCTACATCCTGTCTAGGCGCGCGATCTAACAGGTCCAGGTTACGGCCGTCCCGGTTGCGCAATCATTTAACGCTGAGCAAGTCATGAGTTTTTTCCAGTCTCACCTCTATCCAACGCGGCTTCGAGCATCCCCTCGCTCAGGTCTACCCCGATAAGGGTATCTGCAACAGCAACAACAGCAGCATAATCAACGACAGCAGCAGCATCAGCAGCAGCAGCATCAACAACAACAGCAGCAGCATCATCAACAACAGCAACGACGGCCACGACGACAACCAGCAGCGGCGGCGGCGACACACAAGAGTAAGACCGGGAGGCGGCAAAACAAACGGACGGAGGGTACAAAAAAAAATCAACAGCGGGGTCACGAACGGGCACCAAAGAGTGAGAGCGCGAGGAGTGTCAGTGAAGCCAAGCCGAACACTTCGATCAGCCTCATATACCACATCATAGTATCGGCCAGAGAACATCACACAGTAAGTCGCGTTGGTATTGTTCGATCGGTTTTTCAGTGTGTTTGTGGTTAGTTCCGTAAACAGCCGGGGAGGGTGTTCGTGTGTGCATGGACGGATTTGGATATACCGAAGGGACCATACATACGTGGTGTCACAGAACTGAAGTATCTGCCCCCGCCCTAGCCCAACAAGCGCCCCCGGGGACACGAGGCGACTGCTGAGCGACACACAACATAAACCGCCAGCTCGTGTGCGCCGCGAGGGATACGCAGCTCAAGCATTTTCAATCAGAGATCGTTCCATATGGCCTTTTCGCCGAATCCACAGCAAGTCAACAGGGCTTCTAAAGTCGTTATGCGATACTAAGAAAAAAAAAAACGTTCAAGATTGAACCAAAGGGTTGTACTCATAGTCGTGCATGCCGTAGTCGTTAGACCATTGACCTCGCATCCCTACAAAGCCGGGACGGAGCACGCCGGGTTCTCACCG